ATGCGACCGACACGAGCAACCTGGGGAGACGCAAACATCTGGGGAGACGTCCCAGCCGGGGGGGACGCGGTGTCCAGCGTAAACTGGCCAGACACCGGGTCCCGGGGGAACATGGTGAGGGGAGCACCAGTGGCGGCCTTGGTATAGATAGCGTACCGCTCGTGACCAGGGAACGAAGTGGTGACGCCAAGGTCCTGGATGCAGCCGACACCAACTAGGTTCCTAGAGAACGAGGCGATGTGCAGGCCTGTAAGAGAGCCCGAAGGAACCGCCAGACTGAGAAGGGTGGTGGAGCTACGGGCGAGTACAGGACTTGAAGAAGGGTCTGGGCCTACGCCTGATGCAGCAGGAGAGCAGACTGTACCACTCGGGGAGGTCTAGTGCCGGGCCAAAGCGGAGAGGAAACAGGTCGTCTAGGCGACTGAAACAGCGAGTGGGGGAATGACCGATCTTACCGCACACGAGGCCACGTCGAGGATCGGTCTGGAGCTGGTATTGGCAGCGCCCGTCACTCGGATCACCACCCGACGTTACGCTGCGTGCACAACCACTGTGACCACCTTCACCACTGGCACCAGGCCACCCAGGCGGGAGACGACCGACCCGTCGCTGCTACTGCTGTGGCTGCTACTGTGGCCGCTGCTCCTACGAAGGCGCCTGCTACTGCTGCTTCTGGGGCTGCTGCTCCGAGGCACCACTCCCAGCCCCCTCGTCAGTACTACCAGCGGGCGAACCACCTCCACCACCGCCTCCACCCCCTCCTCCGCTACCTCTGCCGCGCCCAGCCTTGGGGCGTCGACCCTTACCCGGACGAAACTATGCTGCGGCAGCCGCGGCGACTATCTCCGCACCAGGGGCTATCTCAGCGATAGCAGCAGAACCGTCAGAGTAAGTGCACTGAGCGGGGGCACAGTCCTGAAAGATTGTGACCGGCACAGTACCGCTAGACTAGGCGATAGAGCGTTGACGAGTCTTTATGGCAGACAGGGTGTCAACAAAGTCAGTGAGCGTGAGGTTAGCAGGGTGGAGACTAAGAAAGTGATCGTGGGCGGTAGCAAGGCGGTCAGGGAGGCGAGTGGCTAGCAGGTAGAGGGTAGAGCAGATGGGGGGCTGAAACACACGAAGCTAGGCCTCAGTGCAGGCAGCGCGCCAAGTCGCGTCTAGCGTGCGCAAGTGGGCGGCCAAGTCAGCGACAGTGGGGAAACACGCGAGATCAGGAAAGAGCATGGGCAGGATCAGGCAACTGATGGAGGCAGAGGGAGGGGTGGAATAGCACGCGACAACAGCCTCTAAAAACTCCAACGCAGTCCTGACTGACCTAAAGCAGGTGCGCTCAGACAGGGGGAGGGCATGACTACTCGCGAGCTGTGCGACAGCGTCACGCGACAACCAGACAGCACGGGCAAGGCAGCAGCGGCAGCGGACTCACGGTTAGCAGACGTGGGGTCAGCGGGTAGAGCAGCAGGGGGGTCAGGGCAGGGGAGCGTATCGTCGATGTGGACGGCCAGGGAGTGGCCGTCCTGCCGCTGACCGGTGAGGTGACGGCGGAGGTGGACGAGCCACGTGTTGAACTCAACCGGCTGACCCTCCGCTTCAAAGCGCAGCACCGAGTCCACCATCATGGTTGCTGTAGCAGCAGAAATGCGGTAGTGGGCTGTACTGAGCGACAGAGTGCGGCGGGAAGTAGTGGTGTGCGGTGTAGTGCTGTAGACTGCGGTAGAGTGAGGTGCAGTATGGTAGGGTGCAGTGCAATGCGGTATAGGGCGGTGGAGTGCGGTGAAAAGGGCCGATGAAGCTAGGTGGGAGCCGAGGGAGGGGGGCAGCTGAAGGACGGGGCCGCGAGGAGGCAGGGCGGCGAGGCCGCGGGGCGGCTGGTCAACAGGGGCCGTGTGGCGGCTAGGAGACTCGGCCGCGTGGCGGCCGGAAGACGAGGCCGCGTGGCGGCTGGGAGACGGAGCCGCGGGCGGTGAGGCGACGGGGCCAGCTAGGCGGCTAGGTGACGGGGCCGGCTAGGCGACGGGGCCGACTAGGCGACGGGGCCGGCTAGGTGACGGGGCCGGCTACGCGACGGGGTCGGCTAGGCGACGAAGCCGGCTGGGCGACGGGGCCGACTCGGCAACGGGGCCGGTAGGGCGACAGGGCCGGCTAGACGACGGGGCCGGTTATGCGATGGGGCCGGCTAGGCGACGGGGCCGGCTTAGGCGACGGGGCCGGCGTAGGCGACGGGGCCGGCTAGGCGACGGGGCCGGCTGGGCTACGAGGCCGGCTAGGCGACGGGGCCGGCTGGGCTACGGGGCCGGCTAGGCGACGGGGCCGGCTAGGCAACGGGGCCGGCTGGGAGACGGGGCCAGCTAGGCGCTAGGTGACGGGGGCCACTAGGAGACGGGCCAGCACGGGCGAGAGGGCGACAGGGCGGCTAGGACCTATGGCGGAAGCGCTGGTGGGCGGGGGGGACCTAACCTACTCATGATACCATGTCAAAGTTAACGAATGACTAGAAGTATGGCATACAAGGGAATATAACCTAGCGGGTTGTACTCTCTAAGGCACAACCCTGTGTAGTCTATAACAACATACAACGATATGTTTGATAGTAATTTGGTGCAAGAAGGCGATTGGCTATTCATGATCAATCTCAAATCCTATGACGACTGCACTGCACCAGGCCCCCAGAAGTCAGGAAAATTTTCCTGATTCAGGAAAAAAACAGGGTGTTGAGGGGTACCATGTCTGATTTGCTAGGGTTTTGTTTTTGGCATTTCCTGAAATTTCAGGGTTTTTTTGTAAGGGATATCTGTCAGCTCAGTTTTTTTTTTAATGGATCCTGAAATTTCAAACTTGTATCGAGCATGGGTTCTGAGCGGGTCTTAGTCCTTTCCAAAAGCGTGACTTGGGGGGGCAATCAAGAATTTCAAGGTTCTCCCCCCCCCCCTTCCCCACCCCCCGAGGCTGTGTGAGGGCGCTGATTGGCCCTGGGTAAAAAAATTCTCCGCGCTGTATATTGGAGGTCGTGTGAGGGAGGCCATCGGCCCTTAGCCATGTATTCGCCTCGATGTGTGCTGAGGGCTGCGTGAGGGCAATTGCTGGCCCTTGGCCAAATTTGTTGGATGTGTGCCTGCCCTAGGGCTCTGCGAGGGAAGAGATTCCCTCCGCCCCTGCAATCTCGTCGCCTCCCCCCCTACTAAGCCCCTGTTAGAAGGCTAGCTTAGCAAGAAGCTAGGAAAGGCATGAGGTTTAGCTAGGAGGAGCCATGGAGTGGCGTGAGGTTTAGGAAGGAGAAAAGTTGAGGAGAGAAAAGAGAGTTGGAATAGAAAGAGAGGCATACAAGGAGGGGATTGTACCGTCTACAGTAAAGTTCGGTAACCTACCAAGCCTAACAATTATATAACTCAATATATAATTTAACAGCCCCTCCTCCCTCTCCCCCCCACCAATTGTCGTTTCCTGTGTTAAAGTAGCACTAGGCTAGGATACTAGGCAGGAACAAGGCGCCATGAATGTGGCGGCGGGGTTTAGCTAGGAGGGTAGGAAAAGTGTCGAGAGAAAAGAGAGTTGGATTAGGAAGAGAGGGGAGTACAAGGAAGGGTTTGTACCCCCTACAGAAAGGTTCAGTAACAACCTACCAAGCCTATATAAATTATAACTTATATAATTTGAACACACCCCCTAGGCTTGGTAGTCACACACCCACCCAACACACCACACACCCCCTAACCTAGCACCCCCATTCCAGCCACAGGGACAGCGACACTAGGTCGGTCGACCCCACGGTGCGTGAGGCGGCGACGTCGACCGCAGGGGCTGCGGCGGCGACGGCGGCAGCGGCGGCAGTGTCGACAGCGGCGGCGGCGGCGGCGTGCGGCTGCGTGGCCCCGACGCAAGCGGCGACAGCGGCGGCGGCGGCGGCTTCGACAACAGCGGCGGCGGCGGCGGCGGCACCCGCACCTCTCGGTGACGTGGCCAGACCCCGCGAGGGTGGGACGGCCGGCGGGAATCAGCCGTCGGCTGCGGCAAGATACAGGACACAGGGGAAGGGGGGTGGGGCGTGGTCCAGCCTCACGCTTGAGGCTGGCGTGCGGGCAGCAGGTGTGGCGGCGCCATGAACGTCGTGCGGCAAGCTGCCGTCCGACGACGCTGCCACGGCAGCATTACGACGCCGACACATCGCGGCGTCGATGCAGCGGTGGGACGTCGCCGCTGCGATGGTAAGCACGGCGCCGTCACAGCAGTGTGGCGTCGACGCCACGCGTCACGACGCGACGGCACGGCAGGAACAGGCATGGCCGCCACGGCGGCACGGCAGGAAGTCGGAAGGCAGTAAACGAGAACGCAGCGGAAGCACGGAGGGGAGCAGGCCCAGGAAGGACGTCCTGCTCTCGATACCATGTTAAAGTAGCACTAGGCTAGGATACTAGGCAGGAACAAGGCGCCATGAATGTGGCGGCGGGGTTTAGCTAGGAGGGTAGGAAAAGTGTCGAGAGAAAAGAGAGTTGGATTAGGAAGAGAGGGGAGTACAAGGAAGGGTTTGTACCCCCTACAGAAAGGTTCAGTAACAACCTACCAAGCCTATATAAATTATAACTTATATAATTTGAACATCCTGCCCATCCCCCAATCTCACCCCACACGCGCGAATTCGCTACGAATTCCCAGCACCCCCAACAACCAAGACTTGAACACATAATTCATGAACTAAAAAATGTATAGAAAGATAGAGAAATCATGATTTTTTTTTTTTTAAGTAATTCTGATGGCTCAGGATTTTTTTTTAGGGACCCTGAAAATTCAGACTTTTCTGCAGGGAGAATCCTGATGGATCAGGAGGCCTCAAAACCAATCTAGGGCCCTGCACTGCACACTCCTCTGACGTCGTGTCACAATTTTCCAGCTCACCAAAATTTACCCGAGGGAATCACCCTGAGGAATCAGTATGCATAGAAGCAGCCAGCCCTGAGTGATCAGGATGTGTGAATTCCTATCTGAGGCTCTGGGCTACACCCAGGGGGGGGAACAGTAAGTATAATGCATTTCCCAAAAGAGAATCACATTCCAGGTCAACAGAACCACCCCATGTCAGTTCCGTCAGCAGCATACTCTTCTAACTCAGTCCAATTCTCAATTCTTGCACATGGTTTTGCCCCATTCCTCGTGATTGAGCCCCTATGTTCCCTAGGTCGTGTGACGTCAACTCCATTCTTATCAGCAGCCTGTTTTTTCCTACCGGAAGAAACCAAGAGGAGGGATAGCCTTGCTTTCTCATCTGACATCTCTTGTTTCTTCTCATGTGCAGTTCCACCTCCACCTCTTAGACCATCCCCCAAGCCCTTCCCCACCACGAACCCAGCACCTTTCAAACCCCTTCCTCTCCCTCCCTTCCTACTGCCGTGCCTTTCCCCAACCACCTTTCGCCATATTTCTGGAATGCCTCCTCCACCCTCCTGCGTTCTCTGACTTCCTACACCAACAGACACACCACCACCTTCCTTTCCCTCCCTCCCTCCTTTGCTCCCCCTCTCCTCTCTTCTTCCCTGGGAAGCGCCCTCTCTGCAAGTGGCGCCTGGGGACGGGGACGGGGACGGGGACAGGGATGGGGACGGGGGCGGGCTGTCAGTGCACCGAGGGGACAGATCCACCTGCCTTCCGCTCAAGCTGCCTCTCCTCCTCCGAGTACTGCTCATGCCGTCCCCGGCACTGTTCATGTGGAACCATGTGCGCACACTTTTAGTCTTAGGATCTGCTGTAATCTGCCTCCCGCTACTGCTGCTGCTGCTGTTGCTATTCCCCCTGCACTCCCCACTCCTTTCCCCCCCATCACCATTCACCCTATTTGTCCCTTCCCCCCCCACCTCCATCCCAGAGCCTTCTGCCTTCCTCCCCCGCCCTTGTGCCTTGTTACCGCAATATGCCATGCTCTCCCCTCTATCCCAATCGGCTACCCCACCAAGCTCCGTTTCTTTCCCCGGTGCAGCGAGCCGCAGAGGCGGCATAGCAGGGGGCAGTGCGGCATCAGCAAGGGTTAAAGATGCAAGGAGAGGGGCTGAGAGCACCACACACGGAGGAGACTCCAGGAAAGAGCAACGGGCTGTAGAAACACGCACTGCAGCAGCAGCAGCAGGAGGAGGCGGAGACGGAGGGGGGTGGGGAGGAGCAGCGTCTGCATTGATACACGCACTGTTTGAGGAATCAGGGCCACTAGCACTAGGAACAGCAGCAGCAGCAGCAGCAGGTAGCGTGGTGGATGGTAGCACAGGCCTGGGAGGCAGGCGGATGTCCAAGCGCATTCTCTGCCCCACAAGCGCCCCCCCACGGTCACTTGGAGCAAGGCGAAACCTGCACAGGAGTAGGATGACGCAAGGAAATGAATTCAGGACATCGGGAGAACATAAAAGGGATAGGATGGGTTAAAAGGGGTAAGATGAGTTAAACCGGTTAGTATGAGGCACGGACCTTAAGGTTATTGTGTCACCACCACCGCAGCCGCCGCCACCACCACCACCACCATCCCCACCCCTGTCAGATTGTGTTCCATTGCCGTTTTCTGCAGGTTCCATGAGTCCCTTAGTCAGCACAGCGGCTCCCAGCGCATGCACCCACGCTTCCTCCCTCAATCCATGCACCCCATGCACCAGACTCACAAACCGCGCCCCCTCCAACTCCCCACGTGTCATTCCTAGCGCAGACGCCGCTGCTGAGCTGGCCGCGAAGACATGTGACGTGGCAGGGTCCAAGAGGAGGAGGGGGGCAGTGGAGGCTGCAACAGCTGCTAGGGCAGAGGGCGGAGGGGGGGGGAGTGGCGTGGGTGGGGAAGTGGTGGGAGATGTGACAAACGCGGTGGGTGAGCTGACAAAGATTGGTATTCTAGGGTGAGACGTGCTACGCTTTCTGCCGTGCCTGCTGCTGCTGCTGTTGCTGCTGCTCCTGTGGTCACTGGCGCTGGTAGCTGCACGGCCGCTCCTACTGCCATTGCAGCTGCTCCTGCTGCTGCCGCCACTGCCACTGCTGCTGCTGCTGCAGCTGCCACAGTTGCTGCTGCTGTTGCTGCTGCTACCACCACCACCATCAGTGACGAAAACGGTACCCTGAGAGTGAGTAGTACCACGAACCACTAGCAGCATGCCGCTACTGCTACCACTGTTGCTGCTGCTGCTGCTGCTGCTGCTGCTGTTGCTGCTGCCTGTGCTTGCAGCTGCTGCTAAACCCATCATGGAACGCCGCCCCTGCTCCAATGCCTCACCACCGGATTCCACGCCTGCTGCTGAAACGGCTGATGCGGCCGCAACAGCAGCAGCAGCAGAAGCAGATCTGCACCTCGTTTCTGACGCGCTCGTCGACCCTTTTAGGAGGCGCAGGAGGGAGAATGGCGAAAGCGGAGGGGAAGGGAGCGGAGGACGGACCACTCGTCCCACAGCCGCCAGGTCCGATTCCGCACTGCCATGGTGCCTGCTGCTGCTGCTGCTGCTGCCACTGCTGCTGCCGCTGCTGCTGTCGCTGCTGCTGCTGCTGTCGTTGCCACTGTTGGTCCGCCCATGCAGCAGCGGCGGAGGGCTCTTCTGAGTCGGAATTATTGCCCGTACTTGCCAGCGCCGAGCATCCCCGCCCACCGCATCACTATTGTCCTCAGAATCATCCTGCTCCTCCTTCCGCCAATCCTTCCGCCCATCCTTCCGCGCGTCCCTCCGCGCGTCTACCCCCTCTTCTCCGTCGCCTTCCCCGTCTTCCCCTCCCCACGTCCCCGTGGGACTTTCCACAGCCGCCAGAGCAGCGGCGGCGGAGCGGGCAGCGAGCGAGCGGAGGTGACGGCTGTCCCCCAGCGACGCGCGCAGCCGCCTGCCCCGCGCCTTCATCGGGGAAACGCCGCGGGCGGCGCTTTCAGCGGTATCCGCGGGGCTTTCCTTACGGACTCCCGGTTTCCCCGGGTCCCCTTTGAAATTCCCCGCATAAATTGGGGCTGAATGACTCGCTCTAGTAGTTGTGCTATGACTAGCATTAGCAGTCGCGCTGACCATGGCAGTGGCAGTGGCGGGAGCGTGCGAGCGCCGGTCGCGCTGAGGACGGGGAGGAAGTAGCAGAGAAGCTGAGCCCGCCGAAGTAGAAGCCGCATGCCGTTGGCCGCGGGTTGTGACCGTTGCTGCTGTGGCGGTGGCGGTGGCGGTGGCGGTGGCGTTTGCAGTGGCAGTGGCCGGCGTGTGAGCGCGGCAGTTACTCGAAGTATTACTGGTAGGATTTAGAGACATCTTTAAAAGATGACGATCATGGCCGACGGCTGTAGCGGCAGAGTGGAAAGTCACTTCTCGCGGCGCCTCTACCAGAGCCATGATAGCGCTCCCGCTTGCTACAAAGAGGGTGAGTGATGCCGGCTGCAATGCCGGTTTCCGGCAGGAATACCGGTGTCCGGCTGGAATGACGGCGACGGATGTGCTGTGAGGATGTTAGAGACTTCACTTCTGAAGCTGTTACTACTAGTCTGGGTGCGCCGAAGTAGAAGACCGAGCAGAAGACTATACGATCGTTCTCAATGAGCGAGCCTTGGGACTTTCTTAATCTTCCGAGGGAACTGAGTCCCAAGGAACGGAGAGTTGGTTCGAATCCCAAGGCACGGAGAACCAGTGGTTCGAATCCATCCCAACAGTGGCGCATGCGGGGTTGGACGAAGCGGCTGCTCGCTTTCGCTTCCATCATTCCGGTGGCGTTCAGCTGATTCGGGGTCCCTTGCTGCTCGGATCTACCGGCGGCTTCAGGCGTGTGCGTTTCGCTGCCGACGAACGCAGAGGACCGCGATTCGCGATAAACTTGCAGTGAGTCCCTACTTCATAAGGACTTCGGTTCAGGACTAGAGGACTTCGAGGACTCTCAAGGAAATGCGAGTTTTGGGCCCACCCTTTCTGGCTCGGGGCTTTCCCCGTGGCGGAGACACAGGGGATGAGCGAAGCGAGCAACTGCCATGTCGCATCGCACTCGGAACGATCCGACCGCAACTCTTCGTCACGGGTCAGCTGACTTGCGCGAAAGAGTGGGGCGAAATGATGATGGGCGATGGACAGGTCTAACAGGAATGCTGTGCTCACTGGTGTGGCACGTTCCTGGTTTTATCATTCACGGAGCAGCAGGGGTGATTGGTCCGCTATATGAGGGGTTCACGATATCAGGATAGGGGTCATTCCACACCACCTTTTACATGGTGTGTATACAGTGGATGTTGATTTGAGACGTTCCGAGCCCTTCACTTCAGTTGTTGTGGTAGCGAGCCGTTCAGTTGTCGTGGTAAAACCGCCACGTCAGGCGAGGACCAGGTGTCAAGAATCCCGAAGGAGGTGCGCTGTAGTTCGCCCACGTCACTATACTTGATAAAGGTTCCGATAAGATGCAACCTAGTAAAATCCGACCATTGGTTACAGCATCTGATGACATTCCGCCGCAAAATTCCGCCTCAATTTTCGCATGGTGGCTGTTCCCGAGCCTAGTTCGTTTGCGGCGGCAACACAACGCGAACTTGCACAAGCTTTTCTTTCCCCCAACAGAAAACTTTGTTGGGACTGTAGCTTGGGTTTACCCTAGAACCGTGATAGTTTTCCCTCCCTCGATGTCATCACGGGAAAGGTGGGTTAGGGTGCGTAACAATGCGTCCGATTCGCGATCCTTGAATTGTCGAAAGCGGGTAACCAGCACGCTACAGTGACCTAGAAAAAGTCAGGTACCAGATCGGAGGAGGGGATCACTTCCGAAACAACCCCGCAAAAAAATATGACGTCCGACTCATTTTCGATCCTACACGCCTAAGTACCAGATAGGGCGACCCCAAATGTTACGAAACCTCAAGCGCTTTGCCAACTCGCGAATAAGTTTGGCTCGCATCGCGTACAAGCCTGTTGCGGAAATTGAGATCGTCGAGTGCTGGTTGCTGGGTTTGCGCGAAAACCTTGGCGAAAATCATGCTGCCACGGTGCTGTTGATTTTGCGGATCGAAATCTGCAAATCTGGAACTCGACTATATCGCGTACAGGTCCGTTATTGAGGATCAGTTTGAATGCGTCCGAAACGATCTCGCAAAAAAAAGAGATACAGTATACGATATTTCAGCAGCGAACCTCCGAAACGGACGCAATGTGCCGCGCCCTTTGCGAGGGTCTCAGTTTCCGTTCTGCGAAATAATTGTTCCCATTCCCAGTTGCACTTCCTCTTCCTGCCCTACTCCAGTCCAGACACATGCCGTCCGCGGTCCGCTCCCAGTCATCTTGACCCAGCTCGTTCATGAGCTGTACTTCCCTACCGTGTCCTAACTGGCAGGCAATCCCCCTGACCTCCTGGGTTCGTTCGGGCCTTGCCACGTGGACACACCAGTCGAATCGGGGCGAAGTGCATCAATGATGCTCGCTCTGGCTAGCTTGATGCGAACTTGACCTCCCTCCCTCCACCCACCCCATCTCCTCAGTTTTCGCTCCCCTCCCTTCCTCGTTCCAGCGCCACACATTGAAGAGCGAATTCGAGTGCATCCAAATTCGGCCTTTTGCACCGCACTTGAACGATATTACTTTTGCGGAACCTTGGCCCATCACCTTCCACTCCTCTAGCTTTCGTCCCTTCTTATCCAATCTCACGACTTATTGGTCGTCAACCCAAATTCATTCCGCCAGCAGCCAGTCATTCTACCCCTCCAAGCTCCGTGGCCCCATTTCCCAACTTTTCATAAATCCCCTCCTCAGTTCACTCTCCAGTCTACTGAGAGTGACTCTATCAGTGCACTGAGTGACTCCAACTGGTCTTCTGATAGTGTTTCATCCTTGGTAGAAGCCCCTCTGTCAGCTGAGAGTGACTCTGACACCAGACATCGACGCGCGCTCTCGCGCTCGCTAGTTACCAGCCATGCCGACCATCGAGCGCTCCAGCCTCGTCGACGGGCTCCTACGCCCCGTGAAGGTCGTCCCGACGTCGTACCTCTACGACGCGCGCGGCTCGGCGCTCTACGACGCCATCACGCGCCTCAGGCAGTATTACCCGTTCCTGGAGGAGCGCCGGCTGCTGAAGAAGCACGCGAAGGAGATCGCGCGATTGGTGCCGCGAGATGCGGTGGTGGTGGAGCTCGGATGCGGCAACGCGCTCAAGACCCGCGTGCTGCTCCAGGCGATAGCCGCGCACCATGGCAGGTGAGGACTCGCGAGAATTCGTCAGAATCCATGAGAGTCCATGACAATTCAAGAGGATTCAGCAGGTTTGTATGATTAATTTTCTCGAATTCCTCGTGAATTTCCCGGTATGCTCCTTCTCCTGCTCGCTCCCCGTCGCACGGAAACTTCAGTCACCCGTTCTCGGCGCGTTTTTCGTAGTCGTGCGGCGAGTGAGGCAAGGCGCTCGCCAGTCCGTCGATTTGTGAGTACAGAGAGTCGGCTCAGAAAGAGGGCATGCATGCCGCTCCGTTTTTGAGGCGCCTCCCTCAAAACTGGAGCATGGCGTTATCCAGTCCGTCGGTTTGTGAGCTGAGAGAGTCGGCTCAGACAGCATGCCGCTCCGACAACAGGCGTGATGGAATAAGGCCTCCGCGGCAGCGGAGGGCATGCGGAGGGCTCCGCTCTGCGGCCCACCTGCATTCCATCCACGATTAAGAAAGGATGCGGCTCCGCTCTTTCACCGCAAGTCATGGCGATTTCTCTTCGAATTCGTTTTCGAAGCCCTCATAAACTTCCATTCATATGAGCCCGCGTCCGCCGCACAGCGTCCCCTTGACTCTCCATCAACTTTCCTGACCATTCCCGCCCCCCCCGGCTGCCGCCAGGTGCCGCTTCGCTGGAATCGACGTGTCCGAGGCGTTTCTGCTGGAGGCGCGCCGCAACATCTTGGCGGCGGTGCCGCGAATGGCGGCGGGTGACGTGGAGCTGGTGCAGGCGGAGTACCTGGACGGGCTGCGCGCCGTGCGGCGGCAGCACCCCGATGCCACGCTGTGCGTGCTGTGGCTCGGCAGCAGCGTCGGCAACCTCACGGGTGAGAAGCAAGGTCACTGGTGAGAGTCAATCGCACTGACGAGAGCACGATTTGCGGAATTGCTGACAGCGTATCGTGGACCTTCTCTTTATTCATGGTTACCTGAATTCAACGATTTCGTCCAAAACACTTGTCTTGGCGATGATCAGTCAGGCCCTCGTTGCGTGTGATTGGGTGTCAACACAGTTCAATTCTCCCCCTTCTCACACCCTTCTCCCTCCCCCCCCCCTCCTCCCCTCTTCCCGCCCCACAGACGACGACATTGTCCAGTTCTTCACCACTCTGCACCGCATTGGTGGGGCCAATATGCAGCTGCTGCTCTGCACTGGTACGCCCTCAGCTCTACGCTCTACCCTCTACGCTCTTCGCGCTATGCTCTACGTCCTACGTTCTCCAAGAAACTTCCTTCTCGTTGTTGGTTTCGGAGAATCGTCACGAATCAACTCGCTATCTCCTCGCTTTTCGCACGTTGGCCCCCCTTGACCTTCTTTCCTCATCTTCCACCTATCCTCGCTGTGTTTGAACTTCCTCCCCTGCCTCCTCTCCTGCCTCCTCTCCTGCCCCCCCTCCTGCCCCCTCTCCTGGCCCTCCCCTGCCCCTCTCATTACGAAAGTTCCTTCTCCCTCCCCCCCCTGCAGACCTGTGGAAGGACCGGGACGTGCTGCACGGGGCGTACAAGGACGACCAGGGGGTCACGGAAGACTTCATCAAGAACGGCGCGCGAAACGCGTTCCAGTCGCTGGGCGTGCGCGCTGCTGACGTGGACGAGGCCGCGTGGAAGTACGACGTGGTGGTGAACAGTGACCTGCGGCGCGTGGAGATGTGGCTGGAGTTCCCCCACTCCTTCTCCTTCCCCCGCACCCCTGTCTCCATTGGGTATGGGAATCTCATATTCTTCTGCTAAGCTTGTGTTGTTTGTTCTGAGGGGTAAGGGGCAATTGTTACTCTTGTCCTTCAAACCCAAGAAGTTTCTGCATGTGTCACAGGGCCATGTCGATTACTCGCGCTCCTACACGCTGATCCGAATCCATCCATCCATCCATCCATCCTAACCCACGTGCAAGCGCACATTCCGTCCTGCGTGCAGGGCGGGGGAGCGGGTGCTCATGGAGATCTCCCGCAAGTTCACGCCGCAGGACATCGCCGCCCTGGCCAGCAAGTCCGCCATGCTCATGCACGCCGCGTGGCGCTCGCCGCTCTACGGCATGCAGCTGCTGCTGCCGCAGACCCACGCACTGCTCGAGAGCTGGCGCGACGCCGACACTTTCTTTCAGTCAGTGCCCGATTGGAGCGCCAAGCCAATTGATTTCCGGCACCCTTTCTGCTTCTACTAGTGAGTTGTGCAGTAGCACTTGCAGGAAATGCTACTTTTGACTCGACTCAAAGGCACCCCTTCTGCTCCTACCGATGATTTGCGCAGTAGCACTTGCAGGGAATACTATGAGCGCTTGCCCCTTCAAATCCCCTCCTCCAATAGTTCCTCTCTCTTCCAATCCCATTCCCCCGCCCTTTGTATTCCCTCTCTTCTCCATTCGTCCTCTATCCGCCTCTGTAGTGCTATGGCGGCCCCTTTTCCGATTGTCCGCCTCCTTCCTGTCCTTCCTGCGACTAAATCTCTCCTTCTTTGTCCCCGTCCCTCCTCTTCCCTCTCCCCTCTTGCTTCTTCCCTCTTCCCCCCCGCAGTGGCCACCTGCCATCCTTCGCCATTCTCAAGCTCCTCCCTGCTCGCACGCCCTCCTCTCTCGACGTCATGTTTTCCCGCGGCATCGACCCGCTCCTCCTGGACCCCTCCAAGTGCCACTCCCACCCCGCCGTGCCCCCCGCTTGGCCCTCCCGGGCTGAGATCGAGGCGTATGCGAGGGACGTGCGGAGGGAGATTTTGGACGCAATGCAGCAGGAGGAGGAGGGGGGGCGGTGTGCAGTGACGGCGCGGCAGGTGGCCCTAGCAGTGGAGCATGATCGCATGCACATTGAGACCCTCTCCTACATGCAGCTCCAGGCGGACAAGCAGGCATTTCTCGATTCTCCGCACCCAGACTCCCCGCCGGCATCCGATGCGGACCTCCCTTCCCCGTCGTCTATAGCCACTGAGCCCTCCTCTCTCCACCCCAACTCGCCGTTTATTCTCGACTCTCCGCACCCTTCTGCTGCGCACAAGCTCAACTCGGCAGCACTCAGGGAGTCGCTGGCAGGGGATCTGGATGTGCTGATACCAGCGGGGCCGGTGGCTATGGGGACGGACGTGAGTGGGGAGAAGGATGGCTTCGTGTGGGACAACGAGGGGCCTGCGACGGTTTCTTTGGTGCCTCGGGATTTCGTCGTGTCATCCAAGCCTGTTTCGGTTGCACAGTTCCATTCCTTTGTGACTGAGGTGAAGGGATACAAAAGGGCGGAGCTCTGGGAGGAGGCGGACTGGGCGTTCCTGCGGAAGCATGGCCTCACCTGCCCTGCTTCCTGGAGCTTTGTCAAGCGGACAAGGGGTGTGAGTGAGGAGGAGGATGGGGTACCTGTGATGCTGAGTGATGAGGAGGGGGAGGGGAGTGGGAGTGAGAACAGCGTGATGGATGGAGAGGAGGTGGCTGACATGGCAGGGAAGAGGCGGAGTGGCCAGAAAGCAGTGGGTGGGGAGGAAGAGGGAGAATACTGGGTGCACACTCACCTGGGATTGGGCGAGGGTACTGAAGCAAAGCCATGGTATGAGGTGGCAGATGCGCCTGTCTGGGTGAGCCTGGCTGAAGCTCAGGCGTTTTGCATGGCAGCGGGGAGTGAGTACAGGGTGATGAGTGAGGCGGAATGGAATCAGATCGTTTCTCAGCCCCCGCCGTTTTCACTGCCTGCTGACACCATGGAATTTGACGACGACGGTGAGGAGAAGGCGGAGGAGACGAAGGGATTGAAGGCAGGCATGAAGCAGAAGGGCACCAATGCATCCGTGTTTATTGGCACGGATTTGGATCTTGCATCTGGCGAAGAGGGTGTGATGACAGGGAATCGTCTTGCGGAATTGCAGCGGAGTGTGCAAGAGGGTGGCTGGGAGTGGACGAGCTCGCCATTTGAGCCGTTTCCTGGGTTCGTGAAGATGGAGGAGTACCCTGAGTACTCCACTGACTTCTTTGATGGCTGCCACTTTGTTCTCAAAGGGTCTTCGCCAGTCACGCATCCATGTATGGTTCGAGACTCGTTCCGCAACTACTACCAACGCCAATATCCATTTGTCTTCGCCAAGTTTAGGTGCTGCAAGGATCTGGCGAGGAATGTTGTTTGATGGAGTGGTTGGGTGGGAAAACAGGACGACTGGTATGGATGCCCAAAGCTTATTTCACTGTCCTCTTCCCTCACCCCTTTCATCCATCTTCCTGCCTCCACTCTTCTCCCTTTCCCCCCTCCCCTCTACACCTCTCTTCGCTCACACTCACATATATTGGGCAATCTCAGATTTGTCGTGCTTACAGTTTTGTCTAGCAGTTTCATGCTTACATTTTTGTTTATCAGCGTGATGCTTACAATTTTGTCTAGCTTGTCGAACAGCTTGAAACTAAACACCTGTCAACCATGCGGCCCAAGGCTTCCTGAGTCACATATGGCCACTAGATCCGTGCTCGTTGGGCGTGATGCGAAGGATGTCATGCTCTCACAAACTTGAGCATTTCCATGCAGTTTTTGCCGTACGTTATTGTTTCGAGGGTTAGCCGCTTTGAGAGAATTCACCATCCGAGTCCTCGGTCTCGGATCTGCACAGCGTGCAATTGTGTCTGTTGAAATGACTGACGGCATCATGTCGCCATAAAGAGTAGTTGAAGGGTCTCCTAGAAGTGGTGCAGCCACTTCCGCAGGCCTGCAAGATAGAGTTTTCAAAACACGGAATGGCTGGACAACTACACGTGCAGATTGCTTCTCTTACGAGTCAGGGATTGCGGCGAAGGGTGGATAGAATACTTCAAAAACACCTTGCTGGCGAACAGATTCCGCGTGCCTTTCATCACTTTCTCCAGTGCAAGCTTCGCAATGATCTGCTAATTCCATCTGCAAGGCCTTGGCAGAAAAATGTCGCTGGTTGAAAATCAAGAAGAAAGAATGGCTTTTCCAGGCGGGAATTTGTGCCACAGGCAAAACGAAAGTATCCCTACCAGCTCTGGCGCTCTCCATTCAATGATCCGCATAGCAGTGCTTCTTGTTGTATCCCTTTCTTGAAAACTGGCAAATGACGCTCGGGATTCTGGACGGATTCCATAGGTATAACCATTTGTCAATGTAGAACCCTTGACGCGAGAATCCGGCCTAGAGGGCCAGATTGACTTGAAGGTCGTACGTGCGCTTTGCATTGTTTGATGAATTCGCGCATAATTAGAGTTCGACCTTCGTAGTTTTGACGGTGGATCATCTTGTTCATAGTGAATAACCTGCAGAGAGTAGTTTGTTGTCAGAGGACGAAAGTCTAGCATCTGAGAACTCGACTCGAGAGCTGGAAGGACGTGAGCTCACAGTCGTCAATGCTTGCTCGGCAGCCCAAGAGACGACCTTCATTTTCCGAGAGCACTCTCCTGCCTTCATCCCTTGTTTGAGCTTGAGCCTCTGCATTTTCTTTTCCCCAGAGGATGACCCCAAAGGTCATCAACACTTCAAATCAGACGAGTACGCAACTAGTACAGCGGAACAGCTCGGGAATGTTGACTGTACCAACCAACCCTCGAGGCGTGGAAGGGCATTCCGTGGTTTCCGTGAAATCACTGTACTAAAGTGTACCCGGAAATGGCTGGAAGTTTAGGTAGATTCTAAAATGGTTTGAGCTTTCAACTATGAAGTTTTGCAAAGCTGCTGGAACATTCTGTTGACAGTGCGGTTGTGGAATTTCCATTGCAACACTTGGACAATAGAGGCTTTAAAAGATTGCACAAGTTTGTCATTTGCAAAAGTGATACTGCTCTCAAAACCACAATAAGCACAAATAGTTGACGAGTCAGGCCAGATGCTGGTATTGCTACGCGAAGTGTACTCAGATCTGCACAACAAAAGTAGAAAATTTCGCAACTGCAAGCGCAACTATTCTCACACATCTAGCACAGGCACTTCCCTCCTAGACTAGCAAGAAGCTACCGCTCCGTCTCTTCCTCCCGCTCTTGTGCTTCTCTCGTTCGCCCCTGCCTCCCACAAGCTCCATACCCCTTCGCCCCTTCCCAACATGGATGCGCTGGCGGGTTATGGGTCAGACGACGACGTCAGCGACGAAGAGCCCTCGCAGCCATTCCAGTCATCCGCACCTGCCGCGCCAGCTGCCGCTCCAGCAACTTCCGCTGTGCGCGCTACCCCCGTTAAACATGCCACTTCTGTAAGCCAGAACCAGTCTGAGGACAACTTCTCACCAGCCTCGCAGCAGCAGCAGCCAAGGCAGGGCCTAGGCCTGGCCCTGCCGCCCCCATCGGCCAAGCGCGGATTTCTCGGATCTCTTCCGCCGCCGCGATTCGCGGGTTCCGCAGCCGGGGCGTCCGCCCCTTCCCCCTGGTCCGCTAGGGAAGCGGAAGTGGAAGACAGCTTATTTGCGCCACCTCCCGCCGCCTCCCGCGCGGCCTTTTCCGCCATAGCAGACGCGACTGCAGGTGCAACGTCAGCAGACGGTGAGCCGTCAGAAAGCCTCACGGACAGTCTCGGTTCTAGTCGGCCGCGGTCAGGGCTGTTCGCTGCCCTCCCGCCCCCAAGACAAACGCCCGGGTCAGCACTTGGGGTGGGGATGGGTGTGGGACTCGGAGGATTGGGGACAACGGGAGAAGAGCCTTCGACCACCGTGGGATTTGGGCGAGGAGTAGGCGGAAGGGTGGGTGCAGGAGGGGGTGGAGTAAGCGCGCCTGGTGGGGGAAAGAAAGTGGTGAAGGTTCAGCTGCCGGTGGGTTCGTCCCTGTTCTCGTTCAGCGGCCAGGGGAGAGGAGCAGCAGCAGGATCAGGAGGAGCAGGAGGACCAGGAGGAGGAGAGGGGAGGGGAAGGGGAAGGGGGCCAGGCATAGGGTCAGGCGCAGCAGCGGCGGATTTTGGGGAGGATTCGGAGTCGGACGAGGAGGAGAGGGCGCGCAAGACTCGTATCCGCGATCGCAACGCAGCAGCAGCAGCTGCAGCCGCAGGGGGCAAGAGAGGCCTGGCGGCGTTCCTGCCAGCGCCCAAGAATTCCCTGGGCATGGGGGGAGCCATGGGGGGATCTGGATCCACGAGGCTGGATCTCACAGGGGGGGGGAGAGGGGGAGGGGGAGGGGAAGGAGGGAGGGGAGGGGGTGCAGGGGAAGGTGGTGGGGCAGCAGGAGGGAGTGGGAGGGCAGAGGCGAAGACTGGGGTTGTGGGTGGGGGCATGGGAGGGCTGGGAGGTGTGGGAGGGGTGGGGCCTGCTGCAGGGGTTGCGTATTCTGATTCCGATGAGAGCTCTGATAGTGGTGGTGAGGAAGGCGCGGTAGGGGGAGGGATGGAGGGCGCAGAAGGTTCGGGAGGTGTGGGAGGTGTGGGAGGTGTGGGAGGTGTGGGTGGCGTGGGAGGGGGTGAAGGTGATGTGGAGGCAGGAGCAGGGGAGGGACGGCTGTACCCACAGGTGCCACAACCAGGAGGGGTGTCTGCAGGGGAGCAGCAGCATACATGGGGCGGTGGTGCTTACAGTGGTGGAGGGCACTATAACGAGGGGTACGCAGCGTCCGCCACTGCAGCCCCAGCTGAAGGCTACTATAGCCAAAGTAGCCAGAGTTACTATCACCCAGAGCAAGGCCCTGCAGCAGCATCAGCCGCCTATGCACATGCATACCCGGACCCAAGCGCATATGCATACCCTGATGCAAGCGCACATGCACACCCACACGCACATGGGTACGGTTACGGGTACGACAGTGGCACAGGAGCAGCAGTGGAAGGCCAAGCAGTGAACCTAGCAGGACAAGGAGCCGCCATGGGGGACTATGGCGCAGCAGCGCTGGTAGCAGGGGTGGCAGAAGGGGGGGGCGGACTGGCAGGGGAGGGGCTAGGGGCAGAGGCGGGCACAGAGGCGCTGGCTCGGATGGCGAGGAAGAGAGGGAGGGGGCGGGAGGCGATGGAGGTGGCAGCAGCAGCTGCTAATGTGGTGGAGGTGAAGCAGGCCGACCTGACCAAGGGCAGGGTGCGCCCGGACCAGATGCGCTCCACTGGCATTGCCTTCGGACCCACCTATGCTGTAAGTGTGGCGTTTGGGGTTTCCTGTGGGGGTTCTTGTGGGGATTTCTAGGTGGTGTTTTGTAACGTTTCCTGTGTGAGTTTTTCTGAGAGTTCTGCTTTTCTGGGTGGTCGTTTGCTTGTGCGTATGTGGGGTGCTGATCGGCATGAGGGCACATATGGTAAGACATGTGCAAATGTTTGTGTGTGCATGCCATGTGTATGTAGTGTAACAAACATCCCTTCTGTCTGCTCCCTCCCTCCATGCCTGCCTGCCTGCCTGCCTGCCTGCCTTTCTCAGCCGGTGTCGGCTGCGGGCAACAAGCCGTCCAAGGTGCATCGGCGCAAGCACCAGATCGGGTCGTTGTACTTCGACATGCGGCAGAAGGAGACGGAGCTCACAGAGCGACGCGCCAAGGGCATGCTCAGCAAGGCAGAGACCCACGCCAAGTACGGCTGGTGACGACATACTTGCCGCTAACACATGCATGCAGGAGGCGAGCACATGCAGGCATCGGCGCATGCTGTCACCTTGCTGCCAACATGTGACAAACTCATGGCTTCTGATCGCCGCCCCTCTGCTGGCTGGCTGTCCTCATCCGTCCACGGCTTCTGGTCTCTGCGCTGTTTTGTTTGCTCCAAACATACCTCCCTGCTGGCCTGTTAGATGCATTGTTGTGAGTTGCACATACCAAATTCCCGAGTAAAGCTTGAGCTAACCACCACCACCATGCATGCAAGAAACACTACGCAGCAGATACCGTAAGGCAACTGCCTGAATGTCTCGTACATTAATTTTCCGACTAGATACCCGTCCTGGCATCAAAGCATAAACGAGGATATGGGGGGGTATACGTGTGTAATAAATTGACAGGTGTTGCAGAAGACTAAGAGCGTGTTCCTACCAGCCTCTTCCCAGGCTATCCTCTTCCCAAAATCGGCCCTCGCCTGATAGCGTGCTCGAAGAACCGTTTGTCTAGCTAGCTCGTTTTAGAATCACATACGTCACGGACAGGGCCTCAGATAGTATTTTAGGCATACTGTGTCAAATGTAACTTAGGTTGTTATTGTAGACTATACTGGATTGCGCCTTAGAGGATACAACACCCTAGTCTATATATCATTGTACACACACATTCTAGTTCATTCATTTTTCTTTATGATATGGTATCATAGTAGGTTAGATCCCCCCCTAGCCCGCTCACGCTTCCGCCCTTACGTTCCTAGCCGGCTCCCTGGCCGTCGCGCTCGTCCCTAGCCGGCCCCCTGGCCGTTCGCGCCCATCCCTAGCCGGCCTCCTGGCCGTTCGCGCTCGCCCCTAGCCGCCCCCCTGGTCGTTCGCGCCTGTCCCTAGCCGGTCCCTGGCCATCGCGCTCGTCCCTAGCCGGCCCCCTGGCCGTTGCGCCCGTCTCTAGCTGGCTCCCTGGCCGTCGCCCCCGCTCCTAGCCGGCCCCCTGACCGTCGCGATCGCTCCTAGTGGGCCCCCTGACCGTCGCGCCCGTCCCTAGCCGACCTCTGACCGTTCGCGCCCGCCCCTAGCTGGCCCCCTGGCCGTCGCGCTCGCCCCTAGCCGCCCCCCTGGCCGTCGCGATCGCTCCTAGCCGGCCCCCTGCCCGTCGCGATCGCCCCTAGCCGGCCCCCTGCCCGTCGCGATCGCTCCTAACCGGCCCCCCCTGATTGTCACGCTCGCCCCTAGCCGCCCCCCTGGCCGTTCGCGCTCGTCCCTAGCCGGCCCCCCTGGCCGTTGAGCCCCTCCTAGCCGGCGCCCTGGCTGTTTCGCGCCCGCTCCTCGCAGGACCCCTGGCCGTTTGAGCCCGTCCCTAACCGTCGCAGCTGCTTCTAGTCGCCGTCGCGGCTGCTTCCTGCCGTCCCTCGGCCGCCCCTAGTCGTCCCGGCCGCCCCTCGCCGTCGTTGCCGCCCCTGGCCGCCGCCGCGGCTGTCTCCAGCCGCCTCACGGTCGCTCCTACCCTCGCAGCCGCCCCTCGCCGCCGTCGCGGCTGTCCCTGGCCGCCGTCGCGGCTGTCCCTGGCCGCCGTCGTGGCTGCCCCTGGCTGACGTCGCGGCTGTCCCTGGCCGCCGTCGCGGCCGTGTCTACTTGCCGCCCGCCGGCCGGCCCCTGCATTTGCGCCGTCACCGGCCCGCCGCTCCCTCGGGTTCGGCCTGATCTTCCCGATCAGCACCGCCCTCCGAACCCCCCCCCCCTCCCCCGGTACCGTACTGCATCGCTTTGCACCGCACTGCACCGCTTTGTACCGCACTGCACCGCATTGCACCCTACTGTACCGCACTGCACTACTTTGTACCGCACTGCACCGCACTGTATTGCACTGTACCGCACTGCACCGCACTGTCCTACTCTACACTGCCCTCTATTGTCACTCATGACGGCGGTGCTTTGCTTTGACGCTGAGGGCCAGCCGATTGAGTTGGATGCGTGGCTTGCTGACTTCCGTCGCCATCTCACTGGTCAGCGGCAGGATGGCCAGTCGCTGTCTGTTCATCTTGATGGTACCCTCCCTTGCCCTGACCCCCCCGCTGCGCTGTCTCCTGACCCCTCGTCCGCTGAGCATGAGTCTGCTATAGCCGCTGCCCTTGCTCGCTCTGTCTGGCTGTCGCATGACGCTGTTGCACAGCTTGCTATTAGCAATGCCCTCCCCCTGTCCGAGCGACCTCGCTTCAGGTCTATCACCACTACCCAGGCTTTCCTAGATGCTGTTGTCCAGCGCTATTCCACCCTGCCTGCTGCCTCGGTCGGTCGTCTGATCCTCTCCATGCTCTTTCATGACCTTGCGTCGTTCCCCATTGTCGCCGACCTGGCCGCTCACCTGCGCACCATAGCCGAGACCTGGCGTGCTGCCTGCACCCCCACACAGCTTCTAGCTCACCAGCCGCCCCTCACCTCTACTCTCTACCCGCTAGCCACCCGCCTCCCTGACCGTCTTGCCACTGCACGTGACCGCTTTCTTAGCGTCCACCCCGCAGACCATACCCTCACTCACTTTGTTGACACCCTGTCCGCCATAGAGGCCCGCCACCGCTCTATCGCTCAGACCAGCGGTACTGTGCCGGTCCCTATCTTTCAGGGTTGTGCCCCCGCTCAGTGCACCTTCTCCGACGGTTCTGTCGCTGTGGCTGAGACTGCCGCTGCCGCACAGGTTCGTCCGGGGAAGGGTCGCCGCCCCAAGGCTGGACATGGCGACGGGGGTGGGGGTGCGGGTGTAGGTGGTGCTGGAGTTGGGTCACCTAGTGGTGGTGCTGACGCGGGGACCCTGACAGGTGCAGCCGAGCAGACGTCTCAGCAGTCGCCGGTGTTGCCGCCGGACCCGCACCAGCCGTAGCAGCCGCAGCTGCAGCCGCTGCAGCTGTAGCCGTCGCCGCAGCCGCAGCAGAGGCGGACGAGTCGTCTTCTGCCTACATGGCCCGGCGCTGGTGGTAGCGCTGGATGCGGTGGTGGTGCAGGTGGTGGGCTGTCGAGTGGTGGTTTGGGTGCCATGCGCTGTCTGTACCTGCTTCAGACCGGTCCTCGCCGTGGCTTCGTTTGCGGTAAGATCGGTCATACCTCCATTCGCTGTTTCCGTTGCCTGGACGACCTGAATCGTTAGCGTTTCGGCCCGTCGCCCGAGCTCCCAGACTGGCACAGCTTGCTGCCCTGTTTGGTTACGAGTCGTACGCTGTCTGTACCGAGGCCGCCTCTGGTGCTCCCCTTATCACGTTCCCCCGGAACGCGGTGTCCGGACTGTTCACACTGGACACTGCGACCTCCCCAGCTGGGACCCCCCCCTCAGGTGGCTGCGTCTACCCAGGCTGCTGCTGAATACTCCTTTCGGTCACTCACCCACCCGACTCTCCTGTGGCACCACCGTCTAGGTCACCCTGCGCTCCCGCGTATGCGTCACATGTTACAGCACGGTCTCGTCCTAGGCCTCCCTGGGTCGTTCTCTGAGTTTCCCTCCTCCCCTGCCCCACCTTGCACGCCTTGTGTCGAGGGCCGGCTTCGCCGTGCTCCTCACTCTTCCTCATTTCTCCCTACCGCCGCTCCGCTACAGACTCTGCACATGGACGTCTGGGGCCCCGCCCCCGTCCATGGGCCGCGTCGAGAGCGCTACTTCCTAGTGCTTGTCGACAACTACACGCGCTACACCACTGTGTTCCCCCTGGAGCGGAAGGCCGACGTGCCTGATGTTCTTATCCCGTGGCTTGTCGCTGCGCGTGTCCGTCGCGGTCTCCCTGTCTTGCGCCTCCACTCTGATCGTGGTGGCGAGTTTGCCTCTGGTGTCCTTGGTCGTTTTTGTCGTGCGGAGGGCATCACCCAGACGTTCACTTTGCCGGACTCCCCGCAGTAGAATGGGGTCACTGAGCGACGCATCGGTTTGGTCATGGAGGTGGCTCGCACCTCCATGATCCATGCCGGTGCACCCCATTTTCTGTGGCCGCTCGCCGTTCGCTACGCCGCTCACCAGCTTAACCTGTGGCCGCACCGCCAACAGCCTCAGGTTTCGCCGACCCTCCTTTGGTCAGGGTCACCTGGTGACGTGTCTGCGTTCCACGCCTGGGGCTGTCTTGCTCACGTTCGTGCCTCTGGCACGGACAAGCTCACTGCCCGCACCCTTCCCTGTGTCTTCCTCGGCTTCCCTCTTGACGCGTCTGACTGGCACTTCTACCACCCGCCGTCTTACAGGTTCTGTCACTCCCGTGACGTCACCTTTGACGAGTCCGTCTCCTTCTTCCGCCGCTTCCCCCACCGAGGTCCTCCGGTTACCCCCCCCCCTGTTCCTGGTCACCCCTTCCCCGGTCGTCGCCGCCCCTCCTCCTCCCCCTCCCCATCCTGCCCCCTCTAGTGTGTCCCACGTCACCCCACTTACGTTGGTTGTACTGGTTAAGGAATCTACTGTTTGTGGTAGTCCTGCGGCGTAGTCCTCGCCGCTTGCCCTTTCTCAGGTGTACCCTCTTCCGCCGCCTCCACAGCCGCAGTCGCCACCGCTGTCGCAGCCGTCGTCACCGCCGCCGCCGTCACCGCAGCCGTCGTTGCGACCGCCGCCGCCGCAGCCGTCGCCGCAGCAGTTGGTTGCCTCTGGGGATGCTGGAGTTGGGGTGGGTACTCGTCCTTGGACTCCTGTCGTGGCTTGTCCCGGCGGGCCTGGGGGTGGTACCGGTGCTCGAGGGGTTTTGAGCTCTGGGGGTGTTTCTTCTGGGGGGTACTGGTGTGGAGTGTTTTGGAGGTAGCTGCCCAGTAGCTTGCGGTCCCGGTGTCGGCGTCACACCGCCTTCACAGCAGTCCCCGCCGGTGTCCGCTCTTCGCCTGCTCGGCCTTCCGTCCCCTGACCCCATGCCCGTGCCTCCTCCTCCTCCTGCCTCCGGCCCTGTGTTCCCTCCTCCGGACGCGTCTCCAGCCCGTTTCCCCCCTCGTTCCCCTCATGTGTCCCCTCCTTTGTCTCCTGACCCGACTCCCCCGTCTCACGTCTGGTCTCGCCGTCCCTCCCGTGCTCGACCTGTCTCCCCTGTCTCGCGCTCTCACCCTATGTTGCTTCATTCCCACGCGTCTCGTCCTCCCCTTCTCACGTCGCCCCCTCCGTCCTCCCTTGTCGTTGCTCCCCCCCCTCTGTCTGACTACCTGCGTGCCGCTTGTCCTCTTGTTCCTTGGGTCCTTGCCTCTCTCGTTACCGACCCGTCTGTTCCGGTTTCTAGTCAAGACGCCCCTTTCGCTGTGGTCGCTGACTTCGCCTCTACCTGCCGCCTTGACTACGCCACCGCTCTGGTCTCTGACCCTGCCTGTCCTCCGTCTGTCGGGGGTGCTCCTGC